AGAGCAAGATCCGTTGGGCATGCCATGTCGCACGTCTTGATGACAACCCGTAGACCTCGCGTATTGCCGAATGCTTCCTCAGGGAAACAAACAAAGAACAGAAGGCCGAACACTCGGGTTAACTCCAATGAGGTGGCGGACGACGTATGTAGAAGAAACAGGGGGAAAGAACTGAATGCAAACAGCCAAGGACAAAATGGCCGGCCAAGGTTGTGCTCGGCGTGTGGGAACATCCAAGAATCCACACAGTGAAGCCCTGATACACTAGTGATAGATCGACTAGCGATAAGCAATTATAAGAAGCTCTGTGCATTGGAATTCATCCGCTAGCAGCAAGTTAATTAATCACTGGTAGGTCGAGACGTCGATAGTCTGAATTCTGAATATCTTCCTCTGTGGTCTAGAAGCGGCGGCATATGCTAAAACTAAAAATGGAAAACGAAGCGACAGAAGTCAAGATCTAAGGCTCGCTATTAAAAGTGAAGTGGCACAATTTAGCATTTAATGCTGCCGTAGGAGAGAGAGACTAGGATATCTAAAACAAGCTATAGGTAGGGTGCGAACAAGGCATTTCATATCATTGGGCTGTTTCGACCGAATGGACGATGGCCGCCTTGCCAAGTGACAGTGAACGCCAAACTAGAGAGAAAGCGACCTCTTGGAAAGCCTCCAACAAAACTGGATGACTTGTAAGTACTGAAAGGTCTTCAAGGTTTAAAGGGCGCGTGCGCATCAATTTTGTCCTAGAGGAATGCTCACATCGAGTGCAGCGTTTTTTTTGTATTTTTAAACGCAATGGAGTGAAAATAATATCACCATTCCGTACAAAAGTGTATTAAAAATATTTGGAACAGCATTTTACACCTAATGCTCAATGGTGCCAATTTATCATGGATAGGAATTCATAAGTCAAATCTGAATGCAGAGAACTCCTAACGATTGCCAGGAGTGACTGTATGCCGTGGCGATGGAGATATTAGTGTAATTTTTTTACCTGTGAAAAAATTCTCATGAATTCGGAGGTTGAAGACGTTACCACAGTCATCGCAGGAATCAATCATTGCCTTATGTGCTCGTGCCAAATCTGCCTTGGAAAATGAATGTTTCAGTGCAAACTCAAATTGGGAGGCAGTATCTATATTAATCTCTAAGGAAGTCGACTAAACCAGTTTCGTCATCCACAGCAGAGAAAGACTCAGTGGCCAGACCTAACGAGACTATCATTGGCATGGGATTAATGCACCAGGGAAGAGCGAGAAAATAAACGTCAACATGGAGGGAAGACCACAAAATATCTCTGAACTAAATTTTATATCATTTCGAGAATTATTTGAAAAGAAGATAGCATTTGCCGTTGTTTACTCCTATTAGACCGGTGTCAGGCATGTAAATCCAGGCTGATCATCACGTTAAACCATATCAGCGAAGAGTGATTAGTTATTGCCCTTGATTGAGCACTGTAGGTGTTCAAACGGAATATGACCTTGATCCGCTTAAGCGGCGGCTAAGCATCTAGAATCAAGATGGGAAGCAGAGCAAAAAAATGCTCCGAAGCAGTCATCTCCTTAAATTGATGAGTCGAAATGCGATAGAAGTCCTCTTGGTGTTTTTTTTGACTCTATTCAGGCAGTAAAACTAGCTATGCAACCTCTAGAAGTAAAACGAATGGCTTTCTTCAAATGGTAATCACACTCTATCGTATGCTGTTTCATGTAGAGGGCATACAAGACGAACCGTTATTTTATAGTTCACTAAGCTGTAGATACATGCACATAAATATATGGAAGATTTGCTATATGAAAAGACGTGAACAGTCATATGCCCATATGCTCGTTATTCCATGTGCACAAGCTATTCACGAAAGTTCTACAAGATCACTTAAGCACGAAATTGGAAAAGCGACAGTCAGTTGAGCAGGTTGGGTTTCGTTGACATTTTTTTGACACTCGACAATCTCACAGTATTGAATCAGTTACTTGAAAATACAATGAACATGGGTTGCCCATTTACATGATATTTGCAGACCATAAAACGGAATTTGTCGTGGTCAACCATTAAGTAGTTTTCTATGCGTTGGAAGGTCAAGGATTTGAAGAAGGATGCGTTCGAAGTGCACCAAAGTTGAAGCAAGGATATTTAGCTGTTTGAAGACCTGGTTGAAATCAAGGCTTGTAACAAACATTTTTAACAAAAACCACATCGTCCAAACTGTCTACCACATGTCTTGAGGCAGTTTTCGACAAAGCTGACTTTTAATCAACGGCAAACGGATGTTATTATATATTCGATGTATTGTTGGGGACGAAAGCAAAAGAAGTTGAAGCCAGGATATAGGAAATATGGTTAAAAATAGCAAGCAACGTAGACCGGATAAATAGGGCGAAAAAGAAAATAATGAGAAAAGAATTTATACAATCAGCTGCAGTGATCTCAATGATTACTAGATCGAATAAATCACCCAATAGGTCTACATTTGATAGCTGCTTTTCAGACAGTTCCTTTGGTCTAAAGCTGATTAGAAGGCTCCGTGAAGTGCGGAATGCCTACACATAAAATGTCAGCATTCTTGAAAACAGAACTTATCAATAACAGTTAAACCATATTGTATTGCCAATATTTGTATATGGCTATGAGACTTGAGCATTAACAAAGGTGAATAAAGAACTGTTAAGAGTGCAGCAGCGGGCTATGACAAGAAGGATGCTAAGAGTTTGTATCAGGGACAAGTTGCGAAATGAAGAAATAAGAGGACGTGTGGGAATGCAGGGTGCAGTATTTGACGCCGGAAACGACACTGGGCGGGTCACCTCACACGAGTGACGGATGATCGATGAACCTCAGCAGTAGCGGACTGGTACCCTGGGGGCTGCAAGCGCCCAATCGGAATTTAGATTGGACGATGAGCTAACAGAAAGGCATAGAAGATTGTGGCGACGAATCAGACGCGACATACCAGCCCGAGCATCGACACTGGGCAATGGTGATCCCAGTCAATCACGAAAAAAGTTCAGTCAAGAATGTGAAGATACCGTTTGAGATAATCAACTTGGAGTATCAGGGTAACGTTTCATTTATACCGTCAAATGTCATTAATTCATAATGAACATTACGGGCATGCAAATTAAACGTAACATAAACAGGAAATATTCACAGAACGCCAGATTAGAAGACAAGTATTCCTCAATAAATTTGCTGCCTCAGTTTACTTCGCCTTGAAGAACATCCGGGTCTCTGGTGAAATGCTGGCAAAAGTTTATGAAGGGTTTTCTGGTAAGTTTTTGCCATTCGTTCGAAACTACTTTGCTAAAAGGAACAGCCTTGGCATTATTCGATTTAGACTGCAAACGGTCAGCATCGTTCAGGTACGGAACGATTTCGGAACTACGAAGAACGAAGCGAAAATATATGATTCATACTTTCCGTACGATGATCAATTCTTTTATACTAGAGTCATGCAAAATTGCTGTATTTAACTATAATAATTTGTTTTTGTCTTCTTTGCTTTCACGATATGCGTATAATAATTAGACAACATAATAGACATCCATATCGTGTAGATGTCATTTATTAAATCTTATTTGAGATGAAAATGCTGTGACCTTGACTTGGCAAAAAAATCAGCATGACGCACTGTATGTAATAAACGCACATTTTGTGAACAGCTCAAATTAAACAGGGTATACTTCAGACTGTGCAGCCGTTTGGTCCAAAAATTGTCTTAACCATGACAGGTAATTTCGTCAGACACAGGGGGACAGGCCAAAGGCTGAGCAGTGGCTTCTGATGGGACAGTAGAATACTCACCGTCGGGCACATTTCTTTGATGTCGCTCGCAATGGACGTACGTCAAGACGACCAGGGTCAGAATGATGACCAGTACGGCAACAATGATGCTGTGATAGACGAGCTTCAGTCTGGTCGGTTTCTCCATAACAGGACCTTGTGCGGCAGCGACGACGGGACACGGGGCAACGGCGAACTGCGTCTTACTACCACTGTGCACGAACTGTTCACTTGCTGACGTGGCGGATCGAACCGAAGCACCGAGCTGAGCTGAGCTTCGTTCCAAAGCAGCCCACGTGCCAGTAGTTAGCCAGCTGAATACGGATGAAGAGTGATTCAGACGGCCAATCGGGTATAAGCGCGTTTCCAACCGTCATTTCAGGTACTTCAGACGCGGATGAAGTAATCCGTCGAAGTATGGTAATGCGGCTGTCACAAGTCGAAGCTGGCAAGTACAAGGGCGCCATTGTGCAAAGCCACAATCGCTGAATCACCACAGCCGTTGTTCGCACTTGACGCTACGGCAACAACAGAGATGACCGTACGGTGTAGTGGCCACTGACGACGACCGTGGTACGCTCCGTCCTGTTCTTTCTGTGAAAGACTCTGAGTCAAAGAAGAGACAACGCACCAACGCACATTGGACGACAGCCGCGATCTTGCAGTCGAAGAGCTGATTTTGGAAACAACAAAAATATGAGCTTCGTTCCTAGTAGGGAGTCAACACCCCCAATTTCGCAAACGGTCCATATACCCTGGTCGACGGTGCCAATTATCTACTTGACAAGCAATTTGCTCAGCAGTTTCGTAATGCTGTTGAGTTTTGTGTATGTTTCTTAATGATAGTCTTTTCCTTTTCCGCATGGTCTTTAAAGCAGGCCGCAATTCGCTAAATTCGAAGGAAGATGAACAAATTTCGATACATCGTATAACTGTGCCGACCCTTCGTTTGTAAGAGCCAATATTCAGTAGTAAAATAGGTCATACATCGTTATCCTTTATCACGTCACATGACATATTCCCTGACCTCAGTTAGACATTGAATTTCCTTCCGTGCATATGATATTTGCGTTTATGGTGACTTGCTCGTATAAAATCTATAAAGTTACATAATATTTTTCACGGCAGAAGAAAGAAATGGTTCAGAAGAAATAGGGCTGAGGCGTTTATCAAAGGCAGGTATTTAATATAAAGGCGAGAGGTCTTCTGATTCCATGGCTGGCAGCGCAAGAAAACGTATTTAATTTATGTAAGCTCGTTTCATGCATTTTTGCAAAAAC